ATTGAAGACGTTCTTGTGCCGCGTCTAGATCCTTTCGAAGGCTGTTTTCACGATCTCGTGCTGCTTTGGATGCTTGTCGCTCACCGGCAACTTCGGCTTGCACTCGCGCCTCCTCTGCTTGCGTCTTTGCTGCCCGAAGTCGTCGGATTTCTTGTCTAGCCTCCTCACGCTCCTGCTCGGCTGTTGCTCGAGCCTCCATGGTCCGCCGTAGGGTGTCTTGCTGAGCATAGAGTTCCTTCTCGATGATGATCTTTGACTCGTTGAGACGGTCGAACTCGTCCTTGAGCTCCTGATACTTGTGCTCGCCGAGTAGCTGCACATCATCGCGAGACTGTCGTTCCCGGCTCAGTTCCATCTGTGTCTGGTACAATTCATCCTTGAGATCCTTGATTTGAGACTCGACCAGTTGGCGATTTTGATCAGCTTGTGCATCCTCTGACAAGCGTCTCTCAAGCAGGTTCTTGGCGTCCTCCGCTTCTCGCTCCAACTGGGACTGCTGAGACTTCATTGCGACCAGCTCAGCTTGAGCGTCACGGAACTTGGCAGCAGTCTTTTCCATCTCAGAAGTCAAAGACTTCTTCTGATCCTCAAGAGACTGTCGCTCGCTCTCAAAGTTCTTCTTGTCGGTTCGCAGAAGGGCTAGTTCGCTCTCCTTTTTGCGCACAAGGTCCTCGTAATCGGTTGACGTCTTTGACAGCTCCTTAAGCTGGGCTTGGATGTCACGGTTCTCACGGGATAGCGTAGACTCGCGGATCTTGCTGGTTTGAAGCTCCTTTTGGGCCGTGTGAAGCTTCACCTCCAAATCTTGGTCGACCCTGAGCAGCTTTGTTTCCAGGTCTTGAACCTTTCTCTCCTTCAGGGACAGCTGACTTTGAGCCACCTTGATTTCGTCTTGGAGTGCAACCTCCTTCTCGGCCTGCTCCGCTTGCTTCTGAGTGACCTCGGCGAGTGAGTCTTCAAGCTCAACAATCTTCGCGTTGAGACGACGCTTCTCTTCCTCCAGCTTAGCGATGAGGGTGGCGGCTTGCTCAAGTTGTGAGCGGTAAGTCTCGACCTCTCGCTCAGCACGGTTCTTGGCTTCCAGCAAATCGTCCAGCTCGTCCTCTAGCCTTTCTTGGTCTTCGATGGCACCTGCGAGTTTCTCCTCAAGCTCAGCTTCTCGGAGCTGGAGGCGCTTGAAAATCTCCTCCTTGTCCAAAGCAAGTGCTCTTTCGCTCTCAAGCGTCTGCTGAATACGCATCATTTCAGCATGGCAGTTGCGACGTTCCTCCTCGAGCTTCTGGCGGTTCTCCGATTCGAGCTGCATCTTCTCATTGAGCTCTTTGATCATGGCATCTCGCTTCTTGACCTCGGTTGCTGTGCGAGTGGAACCGAGTAGAGGCTTCATCTTCACAATCAGCTGCCACCAAGGGTTGTCTGCCAGGTCCAGGTACACGTGGAAGTTTCTCTGGATAATCCTGGTGGCCTCGGTCCGGAAGAGTCTCTTGTAAGCTGCGCGTCGCTTGATGAATCCCCTCGCAACGGATTGGAATCTGGCCATGATCTCGGTAATGAGAGCGTCTCTTTGCTCTTCGAGTTCAGCGAGCACGCCCGCTCTGAAGAAGACCTTGGTAAGACCAACTCGGTACAGGGCCCGGTCGAGCCCAAGCTTTTCAAGCATATGGGCAGCAACAGCTTGTCCCTCGAGGTAGCCCCTGGGAAGATCTTGGCAGAGCACCTCGTATCGTTGTCTGAACTCGGCAAAAGGGAGTCGGTTGGGGAAGCCGGTGCGAGCAATTCTGATTCCTTCCAGGACACCATTGCAGCGTAGCTGGTCGAGAACAAGGAGGTTGTTGAACTGTTTAGGCTTCTTCTTGTGGTTGGGAAGAATGCAACGAACGAAATGGGGATGTGTCGAGTTGAGCTGTGACATCAGGCTGTGAAGATGCTCTTTGTGTTTCTGGGCGGCTGTGCGGAAAAGCCCCTTTTTGACTCGACTTCTTCCGGTACCATGGTCATCCTCCGACTCAGCACAGTCGGCAAAGAGAGCTGCGACATGCTTGTTTGTCGAGGCGGCGAGAAGGCGTGTGACATTATCATTCAAGGGGTCCTTGTTCTTCTCCAGCCACCCCTCGGTGGAATACTCGACCTCGGCGGCGTAGTGCGTAAGAATGAAGCCTTGTCCAAGACGGGACGGTCGGTATTTGGCAGACTTCTTGTCCCACAAGGAGTTGAGTTTCTCGGTGAAGGACTTGTCTGTGGCCTTGGGCATAACACAGTCTTCGTCCAGGCATGAGAAGACACCGATCGGGTTGGAGAGTTCAATCAAGTCAATGGTAGGTTGTAAATCGCGCCCAAAGTCGATGAACTTCCACTCAATCTGCTCTCGAGCATATTCCTCCTGCTCCAGGACAAACATGTGGTGGTTGAAGAACTGCTGTAGCCTCTCGTTGGTGTAGTTGATGCACAGTTGTTCGAAGCTGTTCTGTTCGAAAATCTCAAATCCAGCGATATCAAGAACTCCGATAAAGTGCGAATCATCGAGACCCATGCCATTCCGGTCAAGTTGACGGTTGATTCGTGTGACAAGGTCGCCGAATCCTCGTTCGTATATGCCCTTTGACAAGGCATCCAGACCTAGACGAACCTGCTCAGGAGTCTGGACCTTTTCAACCCATTCACGACCAGCCTTGACCTTGGGATGGAGCAGGCCCTGAAGGAACGGTTCTAGGGGTACACCGAGCAGCTTGCAAACCTTGGCAGCCTGGACCTTTGCGTCTGGAGCGAGACGGGCCTGATCTGCGGCTCGACTCTCCTTGACGACGTTGATATTGCCCAGATGCAGCACAGCTGCCACAGTCCTCAAGATTGATGCCTGGTCCTCATTGGTGAATCCCATAACGTCAAAGGCCTCCATGAGTGACCCCCACTCCTCGCGATCTGACACGCCCACAATGGTGTCATGTCCGTCTCGCGTGTAGTTGAAATCCTCAACACCAAGCCCATCAAGCATGAACTCTCGCTTGGTGCTGTGAGTGGCACCTTTCAGAAGCTGGTAGAAAACGTGATAGTTTCGCTCGTGAGGGTTGATGTGGACGACTCTGGACTTCTCCAAGAGATACCAGTCGATGAAGGCTCCGCAAATGGCGCCATTCCGGGTGAATTCAATGCGAATGAACTTTCCGAAACGTGAAGAGTTGTTATTGCGGACCGTCTGGGCGTTACCGAATGCCTCAAGAATTGGGTTGGCTCGCAGGATTTGCTGAGAAAGGTTCGAGTGTTGCCCCTTGTTCTTCAGAGCTGAGTCTGACTGAGCAACAGCGGCGAGATACTGGATGACCTTTTTTGTATTTTCGGTCTTGCCAGCACCAGACTCTCCCGTCACCAAGATGCTCTGGTTCTTACCCTCCTCGACGAGGTTCCGGAAGGCCTCATCAGCCATGGCGAAGATGTGAGGCTTGGTATCCTCCCGGCTTCGTCCCCGGTACATGTTGATGTAGTCGTTGTTGTAAATAGGTAGCGGCGCATACGGATTGACCGTGACAAGGAAAAGTCCAGAGTATGTATATATCAGATCGGCCTGGTACCTCATGTGCAGGTTGTGGACAACGGAGGCCTCGTTCAGGTGTGTCAATTCGGCCATATCGTTTGCTTTATCGAACTTGGCGGGGTTCACTTTGTCGACGCTCTCGGCATCGACTTCTCGTTGCTGAACATTAGTTAGCAGATGCACCTGGCTATCACCTAAGATGCACTCACAGTTCCATCATCGCATTGTACAAGCAACTGGTTTCCCTCCAGTTCCTCCACAATCCACCCGCGGACGAAAGCCGCCTGTGGATCCTTAACCCATACATAGCGTTTTCCAGAGAAGTCGTTTTCACCTTCAATACCCTTGACTGTATCTGAACTCCGCCTCATTTCTTCCGTCTTGATGAAGGACGGCGCGAATGTGGTCGACGTCGGTGTCCCGCTCTTGGAGTCACTGCGATGCTGCCGTGATACTGCCCCGGGCAGGCCCTGGGATGCTGATACCGATCCATTCGAGTATGTTCTGTTGTGCGCAGGTGGTGTCGATAGTCCGGGAATTTGTGAGGGGGAGGAGAAGATGGCAGATTTAGGTCGGATAGCTTGGCTCGCTGCGGGCGAACCGGAAGGAGCTCTCGCAAAGGGATTACTGCGCCGATTCATAGACCCAGCGCCGTTGAAGGCCATGGTGAAGCGACCGCATCAACAGCACCTGGCGTTGTGGGATCGTAGAATGATGTTCCGGACCGGACGGGTGGTGGATGTACTTGCGCAAGTAAACAAAGTTGACGGGACAGGGAATAAGGGAAACAAGAAGCTTAATATCTTCTTGTAGAAAGTAAAACAATAAAGGGCACTTGCGCTCCGAGTGAATTTACCCCTTCATGAGGAATGTCATCAAGCAATGCAATGCAAGTCTGGGGTTAAAATGCACCTTGGGCTGCGAAGGAACGGGCCAGTCGCACTGATACATGTGGTCGCGTTGCCGGGGCCATTGTAGGTCAAAGTAAACAAAGCTAAATCACGTGAACGACGCAATGCGGAACCGCCGCGCTAACCATAACCGGACTAGCCGAGCCGCCGCTCTCAAGAAGCGACTGAATTTCAGTCTTGTCGCTTCACCTTCCACAAGATCCCTGTGTCGCGCGTCTCGTGGCGATCGATAATTCTTGTGCTTTTCATCATCAGTGATGCTAGGCACCTCACGCCTTACTAACCGCATTAACTGCTTCTCCCTTTAGATTCGATTTCGATAAGTCTAGAGCATTGTCTAGAAGGACGACATCCATTCTCCTGTTCTGCCAGGCTCGACACCATCGCAAGCGGCTCGCGCACAAGTTTAGGTAGCTGTCCTACCAAGGTCCAGTTCCCGCCGCTTTTTCTTGCAAGACGAACTCGTCGGTCTCTTGACTGCCTGGCAACCTAGATGTGCTTGGCTATCAAACAAGTATTGGAATCACCAAGAGCTAAAAGCTCTTTCCATCGTAGCCAAGATGAGCTTCTACGGTTCCGGCTACGGGCCTCCCCATGGCTACCAAACCTCACAACCCTATGAATATCCTCCAGGTCAAGCGTATGCTGCGCCGCCGTTCCTTACGAGTGCAACCTTGGAGGACCAGCATACAGCTTATAGCCATGGCACTGTAGAAGCCTACAAGTACAATCACACCGCCATCCCTGGATTAGGTATGGGCTTCTCTCACGACACCGCGCCATGGCAATCGGCCTGGCCTCACGGCCCCGTCGATGCGCAGACCGGACCAAACGATCCATCCCCGATAAAACAGACTACCGCACCCGTTGGACGCGCGACAAAGGACGTTGACGTAGCTCAAAATAAGCACCACAGCTCAGGCAGTGACGATGATGCGATGGAAGAGGGAGAGGTCAGTGAAGGAGAGTTGGAGGACATCTACGAGCCTGGCGAGGTTGGCGTTACCAAAACTGGTGCGCGCGATCCGCAAAGCCTAGGGCACAAAGCCCAGGTTGGCTACCACGATGCCAGGTCCCAAATTCCTACAGCCGCAACGCTTCCAACCAACGCATCTTCCAAGGAGAACACCTGGAACGGAGATCAGCCCGCTCGAGACCGCTCTGGCTCGTACTCGCCCTATCTCTCACCACGTGAGATACAGTCGAACGGCCTCGAAAACGGCGCGTCAGGCGCTCGTGCGTACCCTTCCACTGATATTTATTAAACGGTGCTCTTTACTGACTTTGCACAGAAACACCACATAGTGATGGACCCCCTCAAGTTATCGAACTCACGAGCCCAAACCACCCCCAGCATGCCCATCTTCGTGACAGCGAAATGGGACAGACTCAAACAAGCCAGTCAGACAAAGTGCTATTCGAGTTCAAGAAGCGGGCCCAAGACGCAATCGTCCGCCTGTGGCCGCTCAATGTGCGATATCAGAACTACGTCGAGGAGGGAGTGGACAAGATGGTTCTCGATCAACTGTTCATGGAATTGGGTCTCGATATCACTACCCATGGCCCAGTCTTGGAAGAAACAAGAGTGCTTGCAGCACCCGAAGCTACGGACACATCGAATAATGCGCAAAATGGAAACAGCCACTTGACGACAACAACCAACAATGAGAAGCCAGAGAGCACGGATCGAGCCAAGGACAAGTCGGAAGAGCGAAAAGACCGAATAGCACGACTGCTGGCTGCAAAGGGTTCCAAGCCAACTTCAGCAACTGTGGACGACAACAAAACTTCAAAGGCTTCTGTGGCCGCCTCCACCGCAACTACCATCAGCAAGCCTGAGAAGACGAAATCTCAATCGGAAAAGTCCAAGCTGATACAGCAAAAAATGGAAGCACTCATGAAAGCGCGGGAGGCGAATGCAAAAGCAACGCAGGCCCCGACCGCCTCTATTCCTGTTCCATCATCCTCTGTGGCACCTGAATCCAGCGAGACACCAAGAGCTGTATCCCCTGATGCAATGAACCTCGATGATCAGCCAGTGGCCGCACCGGACAGGACTGATACGGCCTCGGCGCCCTCAATTCCAGGACTGTTCTTGTCGTCCAGCGCGCCATCACCTGCCCCTAATCAACGCAAGCGGCCTGTTGCAGCGGACCTCAACGAGCAATCTACAGCTGCCGCGCAGAAACGCCCCTTTGGCCAAGCGCGTGACTCGCGGCCGTTCCTAATCGATGTTAGTGATGATGAGGACGATGCTGAGATGGAGCTCGATTCTCCTGAACTCCGGCCCTCCTCGATTCAACGGCCCACGACGCCTGGTTCGAGAACTATTTCCTTCCGTGACCATCCAGCATTGCCCGACAGCGCATCTCACCGCGCCGTTTCTAGCCCCAAGGCAGTGGGAACTCCAACGTCCAATGTTAACAGCAAAGTCAATTTGGAGAACATGAACAAAAAGATCGAGGATATGAGACGGAAAATCGCTGAAGCCGAAGCCCGTAAGAAAGCAAAGCAGTCCAACAACGGTTCGCCTTCTCTTCCTCAATCCCAGGCTCAATCGAAGGAGGGCAGTGTCGATGCCGCCTCCGAGCCAACGCCTGCGGTGTCGACGCCCGCAGTGTCGACTGAGCTCGGTTCGGGAGCTGCTGTTGGCGAAGGTCGTGCATCCACACCACTTCGCCGCCGCCCGTCTTTGAATGCGCTCGAGACCGTGCCCAAAACCCGGGCTCGAGATCAACAAGCGAGACCTGCACTTCGTGCTCGAGTTGCCAGTGAGCGCCTGCCCATCTTGGAAGCCCGTAGGAGGGAGCAGACTGTTCGGCTGGAGCACTTGCAATCTGAAGTCGTTAGGATCACAAAGGAGATTCAAGATAGCTTGGCTGAAGAGGAACGACTGAAACAAGATGCGCTACAGTCTGAATCTGAACCGGCTTCGCAGCCAAGCGAGCCCGAACTGGAGGCTATCCAAGGTGAGCCCCCGGATTCGGATCACCAAACGAGAAGACGAAGCGCACTAGAATTTGCTCCCGAACTCGCTTCATCCCGGAGACTAATCTCTCGCTCAGCTGAACCAGTGCCGGACCTGCCTGCTGCAGATGATGCTGCTGTGGAATCTCCGGGACAGAACGACGCGATCCATTCGAGTGACGAGGCCGACCAGGATGCATCCATGGATGAATCCTCAAGCAGTGATCTAGCCGAAGCTGCAGAGGCACCTGAAGCGGTCCAAGTCGAATCCGTGACAGAAGAACAGGCAACCGTCGAGAGCATTGCTGATGAGCATCATCATCCATCTACCCCTAGCACTCCGAGCTCTGCAAATCACGCACAGGCTCCTCTAGAGGGCACACCCCTTGGAGATGGTCATGGCGATGATGCAGAGCTGGAAGATGTTGCTATGGAAGAGGTGGCGGGTGACAGCAACGATGAGAACGAAGTTGATGAGTCCTCGGATGAGTATGAACCAACAGAGGCAGGCATCGAATTACCATCTCAACAGGCCCCTAGCCATCCACAGTCCCCGACCAGCCAAAGCAATGTGGCCGATGACACGCTCCTAGAAACGACTGATGCTGACATGCAGGGCGCTTCGGTCACATCGCCCATTCCTCACACAATCTCAGCAGGCAATGGAGAGTTGGGATCTGATGACAATGGAGAAGTAGACTACTTGATGTCTGCTATTCATCGCAGAGCTAACGCCAAGCAGGTCAACGAAACCATGACGACGCAGGGAATGTCGGAAACTAATGGCCCTCGGTCATCGTTCATCCCGTACGAGACACCCCTTCATTACTTCAGGGCGTATCGTTTTCACCCCCAGTTCAAAGACTCAGTGACTGGGGGGCTGCGATCCTTGACATACAGCAACAAAATCGACGTGAAAAAGGAAGTATGCCCTGATCAACTCAGTGAAGGAAGCTGCCCAAGAGGCAACGAGTGTCCATTCCAGCACTTTGAAGAGATGCAAGCCCCGGGTACGTGTCACTTTGGCTTACCATGGGAGAAACCACAAGCCGAGGCGAATGCCAGCGGAGGGAACGCTAACGTGCCAAACGGCAACAGATGACCAGATCCTCCTTCAGCTCGGTGCCTATGGTAACTACGAGGGGGAGCAGAAGCAGGAGTACGTTGCAGGACTTCGCGAACTGCTCACGGATTTCCGCAACCGAAAGGTGAAGGACTTCCAGACAATCAGTCAAGGCATCATCGAATACCGCGCCAAATTCCATGGCGACAAGTCGAAGGTCCTTCCTCTAGGTGGTGTCACCTTATGAGGGCGCTCGTGAGAGTATCTATTCCCTTGCAGACAACCCCTTCCCAACCTGTTCGTAATCCCGCCTCTGGCCGTTGTGATGCCATCCCGCCAGCCACCATTGCACCCCTGGTGACCTGACGGTGATGGACCATCCCTCAATTGCCACGCTTCTATGGTTGCGTCAACTTTCGCCTCTCGTTTTCTCCTTTCCCGCTGCCGGCCTTGGCGCGTATACGATACCCTCTTGCCTTATTCCTTTCTCGACGATATCTATTTTTATCTATTGCAGTAGACTGGCGGCGTTGAGAAGTGGTGGCGAACTGGAAGAGCACAAGGAACAAGATGGCAAAAATGAGCTCGAGCGTCTCCAGATAATTTGGGGGGACACATTGGAGAACCATGAAGTTCTCGTGTCATCTGGCTGTAGGGGGTGTTAGGTAGTGATATTCGAGTAAAAGCCATCCATTTCATGTTAAAAGACCTGTTCAGATCATTCCCTCGTGCATACAAGTTGTGAGCAACACCAAATGAGGTCGATTTAGTAATTGTTAAGATCATGTCCAAGGTGACGTTAGGGGCGAGCAATGCGCCGCACAGTTGAGCAGCATTATTGGTTATCATTTTCTTCTTTTAAGCTTCGACGCTCAATTACTCATGTCGTCCCTCCTCCTTGAAAAATAATTCAACCTCATAGCATACCCAGAGGGCAGATCAAGGTAACCCAGCAAGAGAAATACAATTTTACACACAATCAAGCCATCATGCCCAATACATGTCCCTCCTTCTTGGGCTCTCCCCTTGATATGAGGGGAATCCATTTGATTGCAATGTCTAGCATTAAATGAATCTGGCAATGGTACGCTGATCCACTGCCAATGCGGGAGCCCAATTAATTATGACATGGAGTACTTAACATTTAATAATAGACAATAACTGTTAAGGGTAATCACGGTGATAACCTTTCCGGGAGCGGATACTTTTATAGCTAATACAAAGATAGGGATTCAAAGCGCCTAACTACCTAAGTTGAAATGCATCCTACTGAGTGCTCTCAAAATGGAGGTCAATTAAGTCGGGAAGGAGGTCCATCAGAGCTCTCCTCTACCCCAGATAATTGCATCATAAGAGGAGCAATTGCCTTATGTTGAAGCTCATCAGCAATGGCTGCTTGCCGTCAGCATCTTGGCCAATAGGTTTCATGCCCTAAGTCTAACGCAGGTTGGGAACCAGCCACGCCACCTCGAACCCTCGAGTTGAAGATCAGCTCATCCGGGTTGGTTGTCTTTGCCTCTGAATGAGGCTCAAGGTGTTCCAGGTGCATTGATGCAAGCTCAGGGAGCTGCTCAGGCGACTCGTGCCCCGCACTCGAATTCGCTCCGGGGCATCCACCCACCACAAACCCCCTGAACTCCGACCCCACACTCCCATGCCAAGGTGGCCTTTTAGCGGCGAACTCGGCCTTGGGGCCACCTTTCCACAAGGCACACGACCCGACCCATTCATGGGCAGTTAACTTCAACTCCACACGGGATGCTTGAATGAAGCTTCTCCTTGTTCCTTCTTATCCTCGAATCGTCCTTGTTTGAGCAGCTCTCAAGTTTCTCAGCAAGGCTTCATCCTTTTAAAGTCATCCCCCCTCTACTCTAGGTAAGTAGAATGTTCTTAATTTCAATTGACACTCTTCGCGTGCCCCTCTTCCCCCTCCATTGTGTTCGTCCAATGTGGCGGTGTCAAGTGGCAGCTTTGGTGGGAGATCAGGAGCTTGGAGCTCAACTGGCGGCAAGCTTATTGTTCCATCAACGAGTTTGTCCAAGCATTGCGCCCAATTCGCAGCTAACAAGCACTTTCTCGTGGCACTATAAACCCTTGGTGCTGCGCTTGTTGCCCTCGAGCTCCCGTCTCCCTTCCCCTTCTGCGTCTCGCCGCAGCTGTTAGCCGATAGTTCGCATGATTCGACTAACACAAGCCTTGTGTTGATAGGTCTTCCCGCTCCGTCTCGTGTTACGCCCATCATGTCCAAATCGTTTGTTGGCAACGTCAAGAGCGTTCTCAGTGGCGACACTTTGATCCTGACTAGCCCCAACAACCCCAATGCTGAGCGAACCTTCTCCCTCGCCTACGTTACCGCTCCCCATCTGAGGCGTGAAGGCGATGAGCCTTTCGCCTTCCAGTCTCGAGAGTACCTCCGCAACCTCGTCGTCGGCAAGCCTATCAAGTGTTCCGTCCTCTACACCATTCCCACCTCGGGCCGCGACTTTGGTACTGCTGAGCTCCAGGATGGCACCCACCTGCCCGATGAGCTGGTCAAGGCTGGCTGGCTGAAGGTTCGCGAGGATGCTGGCCGGAAGGAAGAGTCGGACGACGTTCTCGACCGACTCGAAACCCTCCGCCAGCTCGAGAACAAGGCAAAGGCTGAGGATAAGGGTCTCCACGTGGGTGTTGGTGGCATCATCGAGGTGCAAAACGACCTGGGCGGCCCCGATTTCATGAAGGAGTGGAAGGGCAAGACTGTGGACGGTATCGTCGAGCGAGTTCTCAGCGGTGACCGACTTCTGGTGCGACTCCTCCTCTCAGAGAAGAAGCATGTTCAGCCCATGACTCTGCTTGCTGGTGTCCGAACCCCCTCCACTGAGCGAACACTGCCCTCGACTGGCACCACCCAGCCCGCTGAGGAATACGGAAATGAGGCCAGGGCTTTCGTCGAAACAAGACTCCTCCAACGTAAGGTCAAGGTTGAGATTGTCGGCGCTAGCCCTCAAGGCCAGCTTGTGGCCACCGTCCTGCACCCCCGCGGCAACATTGCCGAGTTCTTGCTCCAGGAGGGCCTCGCTCGTTGCAATGATTTCCACTCCACGATGCTCGGCGAGAAGATGGCTGCTCTCCGCGCCGCAGAGAAGCAGGCACAGTCCAAGAAGATCAGACTCCACAAGCACCACGTTGCCAAGGCTGAGGGTGGCAACCAGGACATGATTGTGTCCAAGATTATCGGCGCAGACACCATTATTGTCAGAAACAAGGCTGGCACCACAGAGAAGAGAATCAACATCAGCAGTGTCCGAGGACCTCGAACTACAGAACCCTCCGAAGGCCCCTTCCGAGAAGAGGCCAAGGAGTTCCTTCGCCAGAAGCTTATAGGAAAGCATGTGCGAATTAGCATCGATGGTACCAAGCCTGCGTCTGAGGGCTTCGATGCCCGAGAAGTCGCCACTGTTACTGAGAAGAACACCAACATCAACCTCCTCTTGGTCGAGAACGGATGGGCATCCGTCATCCGACACCGAAAGGATGATACCGACCGAGCCCCCAACTATGACGAGCTGCTTGCTGCTCAGGAGAAGGCTAAGGAGGAGAAGAAGGGCATGTGGTCTGGCAAGCCCCAGAAGGCTAAGCAGTACTCTGATCTCTCTGAGAACGCGCAGAAGGCCAAGATTATGCTGGCAACTCTTCAGCGACAGAAGAAGGTCCCCGCCATTGTCGATTTCTGCAAGGCTGGCTCCCGATTCACCATCTTGATCCCTCGCGAGAACGTCAAGCTCACCATGGTCCTGGGCGGCATCCGCGCTCCTCGAGCTCCCCGAGCCGACGGTGAGGGTGGCGAGCCCTTCGGAAAGGAGTCCCTTGAGCTTGCCAACCGCCGATGTAACCAGCGCGACTGCGAGGTTGACATTCACGACATGGACAAGGTCGGTGGATTCATCGGCGAATTGTACATCAACAGAGAGAATTTTGCCAAGGTGTTGGTGGAAGAAGGTCTGGCCTCTGTCCATGCCTACTCTGCTGAAAAGTCAGGCAACGCTGCTGAGTTGTTTACTGCCGAGAAGAAGGCGAAGGAGGCCCGACTTGGTTTGTGGCATGACTGGGACCCTTCCCAAGACGAGGAGTATGAGGAGGAAGAGGCTGCCGAGGCTACCCCCGAGGCTGAAGTGTCGATTGACAAGAAGCCTACCGATTACCGCGATGTTGTTATTACCAACGTTGACGCTAATGGCAAGATCAAGATCCAGGAGATTGGCAAGGGCACGGCCGCCCTGGAGAGTCTTACGAGTGAATTCCGAAAGTTCCACCTCGACTCCAAGAACAACAACCCCCTCAAGGACGCACCTAAGACTGGCGAGTATGTGTCTGCCAAGTTCTCCGCCGACGGCCAGTGGTACCGAGCTCGTGTGAGGGCAAACGACCGCACCGCCAAGAAGTCTGAGGTCGTCTACATTGACTACGGCAACAGCGAGAAGATCTCTTGGAACCACCTGCGCAGCCTGGATCAGTCCAAGTTCGGCCCACAGAAGCTCAAGGCTCAGGCCGTTGATGCTTCGCTGTCATTTGTGCAGCTCCCCACTGGCGCCGACTACTTTGAGGATGCTATCGGCTTCATCTATGAGCTGACTGAGAACAAGCGCCTGGTTGCCAGCTTCGATTTCATGGACAACAAGGAGAACGTGAGCTACGTGACGCTCTATGATACCGGCTCCTCGGGCGAGCTTCCTGGTCCCAACGACTCGATCAACAAGGATGTTGTTGCCGGCGGTTACGGCATGGTTCCCAAGAAGCTCAAGGCCTGGGAGCGCAGCAAGGCATTTGAGCCTACTCTGAAGCACCTTAAGGAGGTCGAGAGCCAGGCCAAGCAGGAGCGACAGGGTATGTGGGAGTATGGTGATATCACTGAGGATTAAGGTGAAGGCGGACTGGTCGAGATTGACGCTTCAACGAACTTGGTTATGAAGGGCGAGCTTTTGAAAATAGGCGAAACAAAAATGCATGTAATGGTGTCTCGGCGTGGCCTTGGAATTGCGGGTGCGGTTTAGATGAGGCATACTGTAAAAACAAAGAAAAAGTCGCACCAAAACACATCGGATGACTGATGTATCACTTTCCTTGAAGATTACTGGCACAGATAGTTCTCATCCAGAGACGGTTGCGCGCCAAGCATAGGATGGCTTGGATAATGGCTGACCAAACATGTTGAGTGCGCCAGTCAACATTAATCATCAATACTCGCAATTGATTCCCTGCCAAACAAAAGCTAGATTAGCTATTCGCGCAGACGTGGAAGAGCATATGGTCGGAAATATGGGCCCGGAAACACAGGTCCAGGCGGCCGACGACGATGATGATGGGAGGCATCCATGATTTCTGCAAGCTAGAGGTGGTCAGAACTCCGAGATGGATGGCGACGATGGCGGCCCGTTTGGTGGCATGTCTCTGGTGACGGTGGTGTTCTTCCTAGGTAGGTACGCGTGGTCCGGTTTTTGGACCTCCGGGAGCATCTATGCGGCAGCTCCGGAAAGGTCGGAGTTCTCCCCGCCGAGCATTCGCCGGCCATATCGGCCACCAAGTGTCGGGGTTCGGTGCCACGTGCGGTCGAGAGAGGTTCGATGGACGTCTCTGAAAATCAGGAATGACGCTGATCGGAGCTGCCGCATGGGTGGCCAGACTGTCAGAATGGAGGGATGCGACCCTCTGAAATATCTACCATGTTGGGCCAGTTCTTCTCGCCGGGGGTTGATCAAATGCGCCGCGCCGCGCCGAAACCCCCAGGAAGCTCAGGCAAGATCTCAGGAATGGGGGAGCGGCTAAATGTGGCAGCCTGACGCTCTCAAGGTGAGCGCCTCCACAGGCTAATATCACACATTTGCTCTCTCAGTATCCACGGATTTCCAAGTCCACGAGCTAACGGCATGATGGAGGGGCTCCGCGGGGCATCATGTTGAGGTGCAAGTGGGGTCCGTTGTCGGGGGCTCTCTCGGTGGACATGGCGACGTGAGGAATGACGGGCCTATCGAAGTGACTCGACTCGGCCCAACACAGAAGCTGGCAGCGGGGTGGGGGTTTCTTGGGAGTGGCCTCGCATCGAGGGTCTGTCTGTCTGCTTGGATCTCTGGTGGGTTGTTTTTTCTGATTCTGGCGGTGGGGGTGAGCGGCGGTAGCAGTTACCAAGACCAGCCAGCGTGTCATTTCTCTCTGTTCGTCCAAAGCTGCGACACATCGTGAGAAGGTGAATGGCCTATGAGAGAATTAGTTGAGCGGGCGGTCAAAGAAGGAATCCAACTGCTGCGGCAGGCTGAAAAGATTGCAGATTCATCGGTCAACATTCGCCGGTCAGCGTTAATACACCAGCTTTGCTTGCTTGCTGCTGGTGCGGCTGTAGCATTGACGTCCAGGGTGGAAAAAATAACATTGGAACGGCGAGCTAGCATCGGGTACTTGAAACCAGCTGCTGGCAGGTCAAGATGGGGGCAAAGAGGACTTTAAAGTATACCAAAGAAAACCTCAGAGTCTGCTCTACGAGACTGCAAGGTTATATCAAAGAATTGGCCTGCAATCCTCGCTTCAGAAGCGTTTCGAGAGCTCCCTCGCCGTTTCGGCCTTTTCTTTCCACGACCAGCCATGAAGGCGGCCGCGGCGGATGCGGGTACGGGATGAGGTGAGGTGAGGTGAAGGTATGACTTAATCGGGAGCCCCGCCCCGACCGGGATGCCGTACCTTCCATGGGCCATGGGCGCATGGTGCAGCGCAGCGAACGAGGGGGAGGGGCGACGGAGGCGAGGGAGAGACAGCAAAGAAGGCGCGAGTCGTCGCATGTACGTCAGGTACCTTCCCAACTTTTGGTGGGAATCCCCAATCTTTTTCTTCCCCTTGACTCCCTCTTCTTCCCTCTTTCTTTTTTTCTCTCTCCTCTTCATCCTCTTCTCGTCCTTTGTGTGTTCAATCTTGAATCAATCACAAAACAACAACAGCAATCATGTCTACCTCTCTCGATCAGCTCAAGGCCAGCGGCACTGTACGTCACCCCACCATAGCCCCTCCAGGTCGTCTAGTATCGCGACAAAACATGTGTCGGAATCCGGATAGCTCGAGTTTTGAAGCAGCTTGAGAAAGATGATGGAAGCTATCATCATTCTGAAGCTCCAGCTACTAGATCTCACACTGCGACCTTGATACTCCCACAATCACCTTGTTGAACTCTTTGCTGACCGCTTGCTTGTTTTCCACCTCAACAGACCGTTGTGTCCGACTCTGGTAATTACCGCATCTCCCCAGCTAGTTTTGTCTCAATGCTAACTCATCCTCCATAGGTGACTTTGCCTGTTAGTGCCTCCCTACTGGAAACCTCGTTTTCGCGAGCTCCCAATTCCCATCATCACGTCGAATCGCCATCTTCTCACCTCCTCAACAACCCCCACCATGATCATGATATGATATGATATGATAGATCGAACAAGAAACTAACCATTCTTGATAGCCATTGGCAAGTACAAGCCTCAGGATGCTACCACCAACCCCTCCCTGATCCTCGCTGCCTCTAAGAAGGCCGAGTACGCCAAGCTGATCGATGTCGCCATCGACTACGCTAAGCAGAAGGGTGGCTCTGCCGACCAGCAGGTTGACGATGCCCTCGACCGCCTCCTCGTCGAGTTCGGCAAGGAGATTCTCAAGATCATTCCCGGCAAGGTCTCCACTGAGGTCGATGCCCGTTACTCTTTCGATACCCAGGCCTCCGTCAACAAGGCCCTTCACCTTATTGAGGTAAGCTCTGCCTGGCTATTGAAGCAACTTGGGTCTTATCGTGATGCTTACACTTTCAATAGCTCTACGGTGAGCAGGGCATCTCCAAGGACCGTGTCCTGATCAAGATTGCCGCTACCTGGGAGGGTATCAAGGCCGCCGAGATTCTTCAGCGCGACCACGGCATCAACTGCAACCTTACCCTCATGTTCTCGCTCGTCCAGGCCATTGGTGCTGCCGAGGCCGGCGCCTACCTCATCTCTCCCTTCGTCGGTCGCATCCTTGACTGGTTCAAGGCTCACACTAAGAAGGATTACGCTAAGGAGGAGGACCCTGGTGTCGCCTCTGTCAAGGCCATCTTCAACTACTACAAGAAGTTCGGCTACAACACCATTGTCATGGGTGCCTCTTTCCGAAACACTGGCGAGATCACCGAGCTTGCTGGCTGTGACTACCTGACCATCTCCGTAAGTATCATATTTAGCACACAAACCCAAGCCTTGAGTACGAAATGTATGTGTTACTAATTTGATGATTTACAGCCCAACCTGCTCGAGGATCTCCTCAACTCCGAGGAGGCCGTCCCCAAGAAGCTCAACGCCGAGGAGGCCACTGCTCTGGACATCGAGAAGAAGACCTACATCAACGATGAGCCCCTCTTCCGCTTCGACTTCAACGAGGACCAGATGGCCGTCGAGAAGCTCCGTGAGGGTATCAGCAAGTTCGCTGCTGACGCCGTTACCCTCAAGGATATCCTCAAGGAGAAGCTCGCCTAAGCTAGCTACCACGCATAATGAGTACAAAGAAATTGAAGGAAGAAAAAAGTTAATAGGGCAAGGTTGCTTTGGGAGGTATCGTGGAATTGAGGCTGGCTGCGCGCAATTGGCTTGAATTGGTTCGCGATATTCAACTGTAAGCTATCGTTGATGATACCACGAACATATCACTCTACCCGTCCATTCATGTGGATTTGGAGACAGGCCGCGGCTCGGGAGGATCATTAAGAGGAGGTCGACAGGCACAGATAGGATTTGCATAGGAAATCAAGACGACATGTCAGGCCCATGAGCAATGAACCCCTTGGTGAGATGATTAACTTGGGACCCAAGTTGGGATTTAACTACAGTACAACAAACTCCATGTTTAGATGCTTTGGTATAAACACCGCCGTTCTTGATCCGACCGACAAGACCCGTGAACGCCACCCACCCATCGAAAGACACGATTGGCCTACCAAACCCAACACCCATGTCCCATCTTGATGCTGCCCAGAGAGTGGTCATGATGACACCGATAAATATCATGAAATCACAGGTGCCCGACTAGAACCAGCCCTTCTTGCACTCAACTTGGAAGGTCAGAGGCTTCCAGCCGCCATCCTCGGTGCCCTGGATAACGAGAGCTGTAAGAGCATTACCCTTGACGCAACCCGAGTCGAGGCCGAAGGTGTATGTGTCTTCTTTATAACCCATCTTGGCGTCATGACCGTAGATGATAGAACGACGCTCAATAGCAGGGAGCTTCTTCTGTTCGCTGTTCCACAGTTCGGACCATTGCTCGCCCCCACGGTCGTTGACGGGGATCCATACATCGCGGTCGCTGCTAAGAAGCTCCTGTGCGGGATCGCTGGCCGGTGCTGCGGCAGCAGCATCGGGCTGGGCGCGGGGGACGAGGACGGCGGCCTCTTGGCCCTCTTCATCGGAGGAGGATTCGTCCCGCTTGGGCAATTTTTCGGCAAGCTTCTTCAGTTCCTCTTCCTTTTGCTTCTCCAACTCCTGCTGCTTCTCGAGCTCCTGCTTTTTCTTCTTCTCTTCCTGTTTGCGCTTCTTTTCAATCTCCTTAATACGGAACTCGGCGCGGGGGAAGCGCAGAGTGCGCATGTTCATGACGGCCCAGGGATCTTGCTGATGGACGGGGACACCGGGGACGAGGCCGGCGTGAACGATGTAGAGAGACATGGGCTCGGCGGATAGAATGACAGGGAGGTTCCTTAGCCAATTCATTTGCGCTTCGTTCAGGCTTCGTGCCGTCTTGAGATCTTCCTCCTCGCCGCGTCTCTTTGTTTCCGCTTCCGAGTCGAGATACGCCTGAACACCCTGCTGAGCGCTGAGGGCCGACCAGGCAAGGATCACACGATCTTCGTGGTTTCCGCGGACGGCGCTGGCCTTGAGCTCCATGAGTCGGTTGATCAGCTCGGGCGTCTTGGGGCCCTTGTTGACCATGTCGCCCACAGCGACGATGTGATCGTGCTTGGGATCAAAGGTGATCTTCTTGAGCAGTTTCTCGAAGGGATCGAGCATGCCATGTATATCACCGATAACGACCAATCGACGGCCGTTGGCCTTTGTTGGAATGTATTCGCTCGGGAGGTTCCTGACAAGGTCGATGCCGTCGTAGGCGGGTCGGTTGTACATGCCGTAAGACATTGGGTTATCAGCTCTCGATATCTCGACCTTGGGCTGGTCATAGTTGGTCTTGTCGTCGTGGGGCATGGTGAGTGAGACGAGGCGCGAGCAGCAGTAAAAGACGCTGAAGACGAAGAATGCGGTGGAGAGTAGGACGAGCAACCTCCGCTGCCGTGCCGTGATCATTATGGCCATGGCTGCAGGAGGAGGGGCGAATGGCGGCGTGAGGGTTGGTCACAAGGGAGGGCGGCGAGAGCTTAGGGGCGATTCGCGGTTGATGAAGCTATGACGACAGCGACGACGAAGATGATGGTGACGCACTGCGGAGGAGGACGCATTACCGGATCTGGCGGATGGACGAGGGATTCATGGATCAGAGAGTGATTCGAGGGGAAAAGATGAGCAAGAGGAATGGAAGTAAAGGAAGAATAGGAGGCCGGAATAGGAGGATAGGAGAGTTTACACCCACCGATCCAAGTCTCAGGCCGGGCGGGAGTGGTGAGACGGGAAGAGACGATGCAATGGTAGGATGATAAGAGCAGCGGCAGCGGCAAGACAAAAGACAAGATAGGGAAGCAAGCAGCCGACAGCAAGACAAGGGAACAACGGCCACTAAGATAAACCCGACATCCATCCATTCATTCATCTCTCCCCAACCACCACTAAACCCCGGGATATGGGCGAAGCCAAGCCTCTTGGGACCGCAAGTTGAGGTTTTTCACAGGCTCATCACTGGCCTCGCCAAGAAAAGGAACAAGCACAGGGGCTTACGCACTTCGACTCGAGGGGGGGGCGGTAGGACAAAGGGCACAAGGGCAATTTCCAAAGTCGGGCGGCGGTCGCGCGCGTGGGGTTTGGTCGACTTTGATTAGCTATTGGGGAGGATTTCCATGGATTTGCGGGTTGTGGGGGACGACGGCTCGGAAAGCATAATTAAGCAAACAAGTGCCCGGGCAAGGCGTTTCGAGGGATCGACCTTGTTTGGACTGGATATGAAAAAAAAGCCCTATGAAGGACGAGGGCTCGTCATGGTGGCATCCATAAGGACGCTATTTTGTCTTGCAATTTGTACTGTGTTGCCAGATCCAACCTCCTTGATTGGGTCATGTGTGATACGGACTACATGATAATGAACAATCTCAGCGATCTGAGATGCAAGATACAAATATTGTACAACATGTGAGGAGGAGGGAGGGAAGTAGGGACGGTTTGTTGTCCGTCCGTCCGTCATCACGGTGAGCCGCAGATTAATATGTGCCTGCGTGCGGATGCTCCGGAGACGCCGGGTCGGGCCTTGTATGAGGAGGCTGTTTCCAAGCCCCAACTCTCAATGCCACCGCTCTCCGGGCCAGCAGCAAAGGGTAGTTCCCTTTGTGATCATCATGACCATCGAAATCCTCACTCAATTGCCCTCCGCCGGCTCAGTATCAGGGTCAACGTGTTTCTCCGCCTGTTTTACTTCTTCTGCTGCTGTTGTTGTTGCCGCTGCTGCTCCTGCTCGGCCTTGTACTTTTCATTCTCAATCTCCCGCCAATCCTTTGGTATAGGCTCGTTACCGTCCGTCTCCTTGACACCGCCCGCAAAGGCGGGACGTCCGGCGTACAGCTGATATCCCTTACCCTCCTCGGCCTGCTCCATTGTACGGTAGGCGACGGGCATGTTGCCACGAAACCGCTTGCGCATATCAACCATGCCGCGTTTACACTCGCCAAAGCCCTTCTTGAGCTGACGGCACTTGAGGGGGAGGGTGTCGACGAGGGGTTCGCGGAGGCAGTCGGCGGCGCTGTTGCGTTGGACCATGACGCAGTCTGATTCCTGGAGACACTGGGCGAGGGCCTCGCCTGAAATTGACTGTTAGAGTGGGCGTCTGAGAGGTCGAGGTGACGGCTTACGCAGTTCTTTGCACGAGCTGGGCATCTTGGGCTGGTGGTTTTTCTGGTCGATGGCAGCTCAGGTGATGGGCGAGACGGGATCAAAACCGCTTCGAAGACTTGCACCAAAAGGGTTCGTTTTGCGGTCGACCTATGATTGGTTGGTTGATTGAGACGAATTGAGGCGGCTCTTGAATGTGGCGTTGAAATCATGAGCCACACTTGCTTGCATCTTACCGCTGTTTAAGCTTAACAGCACGACAAGACAGGGGCATTATGGGCTTCAATATTCAGGGCCAAGGTAAGTGAAGCTCTACTACTCTCGTCATGTTTCTATTATCTTGTTCCTTATTGTTCTTGGTTTTCGTTGTTCTCTCCTCAAACCCAATCGTTATCGCGGGTGTCCACGTTCCACGAAAGGGGTGGGTACTTTAGCGCTGCATCCACTGAAAGTTGGCACCCAATCCACTGTACTCGACCCTGACATTTGCATGTGCCAGACAGGAGAGCCATGAATGAATGTCTCACTGATGATGAAAGATGAAGGCATGAATGGAATGGTCAATGACAGCAGACAACTCCTACCTATATGACCCCTTTTAAAGGCCTCATCTCAATCTTCTTCATGGATCTCGTCTTTTACTCTTCGGTGCTGCAAAGGGAATGACCCGTCCTGTCCACTTGGTTCCAATCTCGCCTAAAGTCGCTGAGGTCATGATTCGTTGTCACCCTCTTGCGGCAGCGCCAGCGGCAGCAGCAGCGCCAGCGCAGAACGTCAGTGCTCAACGTCAACGTCGGGCTCCCCAATTGCATGTGACATCACCTCCAACTGCAAATGCTGCCAAAGCCAAACGGCTTCCTTCTCATTCTCATCCTGGTCCTTCTCGCAACACAGAATCGAGGGCTGAGATCCTATCGCGGCGGCTCTGGTCTCATCTGAGAGATCTTGTCGCCATGGCTATTCCGTTCATCGGGAGGCTGCGTCCGTGAGTCGCCCCCTGTCCAATCTACTCTCTCTGTCGCTGAAGCGGTCTGCCGCCTCTTCATCTGTGCGCCAGCCTCATTAACCTTTGCATCATGTAGGCACGAGTATGTCGCGCTCGTTGGGTCGTTTATTCTCGTCGGTCTCGAGGCTTTAATCCGAGTATTGACCCTGGCTTTGCGTAAGTCGCGATGCGCGTCTCCTGAGCGGTGTGGTGTAGGCTTTGTTGACATTGATATTCCCAGCTCCTTTCCTCGTTTCCTTCTTCTATCGAGCTTCGAGGCGGTTATTTAACAAATTTTCTCCCCCTGCCAAGAAGAGGGCGGAGAATAGGCGAAAATGTTGGTAAACACTGTAAACCTCCATCGTGCTCAGACTGACTCTCAGTAGCCATTTCAACAGCTGTGCGGGACGCAGCTGATTTTGTCGAGTTGTGCCGGATCTGGGGATACGAAGCTGAAGAGCACATTGCCCAAACCAAAGATGGCTACCTCCTTGGTCTTCATCGCCTGGCGTGGAGAAAAGGCGATGAGGGGCAAAAGGTCAACTCTGGACCGACGAGTCTGCACAAGAAGGTCATTTACATGCACCATGGTCTTCTCATGAACTCTGAGGTTTGGGTTGCTCTTACGGATGGGCATAGATGCTTGCCTTTTGAACTGGTTGAGAGGGGTTATGATGTCTGGGTATGTCTCATTTCTTTCATCTTAACTTTCATCTTTGCTAACACCCTTAGCTTGGCAACAATCGAGGAAACAAGTACTCCAAAAAGTCGATTCACCACTCGCCAACGTCGCTCAATTTCTGGGACTTTTCCATCGATGAGTTTGCTTTCCATGACATCCCTGACAGCATTGCATACATCCTAGACACGACTCAGCAGGAGAGTCTGTCTTATATCGGCTTCTCTCAGGGCACGGCGCAGGCCTTTGCCACCCTGGCCATTCACCCCAAGCTCAACCAGCAGGTCAACGTCTTTATCGCTCTGGCACCTGCCATGGCCCCCGCTGGCTTGTCGAATGGGATCGTCGATGCTCTTGTTACAGCGTCTCCTTCAGTTCTGTACCTGCTGTTCGGTCGTAGATCCATCCTCAGCTCGGCAACCATGTGGGAGACGCTTCTGTACCCACCCATCTTCAGCAAGCTCATCGATATGGGACTTTCCTTTTTGTTCAACTGGCAGACCAAGAATATCTCGGCGAGCCAGAAGCTGGCAGCTTACCCACATCTTTATTCGTTCACGAGCACCAAGAGTGTTGTTCATTGGTTTCAGATCATCCGGAACAAGTGTTTCCAGATGTATGACGATGATGTTCACCAGCCGATGAGCGTCATCTCGACCAGCAAGTACTCCAAGGTTGCCAAGTACCCGACGCGAAACATCAAGACGCCAATTGTTCTAGTGTACGGAGGAAGCGACTCCCTGGTTGACATCAAGGTGATGCTCAAGGAACTACCGCCGCAGACGGTAGCGACCGAGATTCCTCACTACGAGCATCTCGACTTCTTATGGGCCCGCGACGTTGACATTCAGGTCTTTCAACATGTGTTTGATGCCCTCGACAGCTTCACGGATGCCGAGCATTCTAAAGAAGAGTACGACAAATACTACATCAGCAGGCAAGAGAGCCTCCTTGGCTCAGGATACGCGTTTGGATACTCACACCAAGGAAGCGAGAGCGAATCATCAACACTCACGCCTAGCGTTGAAAGCCAGAGCAACGGTGTTCCTCTAGCTCCACACCGTGCACGAGAGCATTCGACTGCGATTCCATCACCGGTGAACACGACACGGGCAAGGGTCAATATCGCTGCGGGCACCATCGTGGACGGTCGGCCAGTGACCCCGGACAAGCCTGGTGGCGGTCTGCTCTCAAGAGGAGACTCGCCTGACGAAGGCCATGAATCACCAACGACAGCGAGGGTCAAGGCCAGTGCCAAACGCAGAGGAAGCAATGGAAGCAACATTAGCCTCGACAGCATGCGTTCCGGCCGAGGCATCAGCGTCGGAGCGAGCAAAGCGGTTGGAGGTGTTGTGACCAAGCCCGGCGTCAGTGGAACGCCAGCAGACGATAGCAGAAGTGCAACCCCAGACAAGAAGAAGAAGAGTAAGTAAACGACAAACAGGATGTGACTTGGAAAAGGGCGTTTCGTCGAGTGGAGTTTGAACTGCTGGCAGGATACATATATACTGATATCAGATGGTTAATTCGTGGGACTAGATATAACGTCGAACATTTTCTATGTAATGCAGCAACAAAAATATCGTTCAAGAGGGTCGACCGGAGTGCTTGATAAGAAGTGCGAGTGAGGGAGTCGTTGATGTCAGCTTTGGCGTTCTTGGCACATTTGAACCCTTGTTATGGGATCTAAACTCGTATGATGGTGATTGAATAAAGTGGGTCTGTGATGACGCGGCAGATGGGCTTGAAAGCCGATAAATATCGAGATGAAATTGTCTACCTCGTGTCTTTTTGTTGTGCTCAATTTCTGCCTTGAACAACCTCGTTTGGGGCTGAGAGTTGACATCAGGCTCCCGTGTTAAACAACGTTGCAATGGAAATGGCGATCTTGGCAACGGGATAGTTCAGGACAGGGTTCATTGAGGCGGGTTCGCTTATCAATCCAGATTGAGTTTTTTACGAGCCTCTCTGCTGTAGGTACATACATATTCTAGATATTCTAGTGATGCTCTCATGTGGAGGCTATGCTGGGTTGAAAGTGAAAGTGATGATATCAGAACCTTGAAAATCCGCCCAGGCTGATTCCTCTTCATCTTGAGGCCTGCACAGCCCCAGAGTCTAGACGGCAAGGACATGAAACTGCAATGTAGTATACGAAAATCACACCAAAGCCGCGCATGCTGTTTCGCATTCTTTGGCGAAACGTCCAATCCCATCCCTTGTATCGACCACCCTTTCATGTATAAGGCTGCCCTAGCGCCAACAGATACATACTGGGCGGGTCAATTCCGAGCTGAAAAGATGCCCCGGCGGGTTACGGGGACGTGCCGGAGGCTCCAATCCGGTGGTATCTTTATGCCCGAATTCCGGGGCTGAGATGAAGGGAATCCTTTTGTAGGGATCCATTTCCTGGGCTGGTTTTTTCTTTTCTGTTATATCCGTCCTGTACTTTAGTTGTATTTCATTCTCTTCTTTTACCTTTACCTTTAAATAACCTTGTTTTCTTTTGGAGTGTTGTTGACTTTTATGTGTCGTGAGTCAGCCTGATACCACACCCCATTAGATGCAGTAAGACGGAGGAACTATTCATCAACTCCGGTTCAACAAGACGAAGCGATACATACATAACTCGACGATAACTCTATCGACTTTGTTCCTTTCTTGGCAGACTCATCCAAAGGTCTTGGCCCCCAACTCGCCCATCATGTCCAACGACGTCCCAGACTTGAACAACCAAACATTTGTCGACGATGGTGGTCTCTTTGAGTGGTGCTTTGAGCATCCCAAGTCAGACATTTGCGATAATGTTTCCAGCTTTTACCAGTATCGTCTTGACTTGGCTCCCAACGCCGCCTTCCTCGCCATCTTTTCCGCCTCCCTGATCGGCTTCATCGTCACTTGGATCGTCACACGCAAGGGAACTGCCTTCAATGTTGCCTTGATCCTTGGTCTTATCTGCGAGATTCTCGGATACATTGGTCGTATTATGAGTTGGCAGAATCCCTGGAGTGAGAATGGTTTCCTCGTGCAGATCTGCTGCTTGACCATTGGCCCAGCTTTTATGGCTGCTGGTGTTTATCTCTGCCTGCGAAGGATTGTTTCAGCTTTTGGACCTGAGAACTCTCGACTTCCTCCAGAGTATTACACCCGAATTGTAAGTTTATCATCAAACAGTCATCAACCTTGAATAACTAACCTCCCCCAAGTTCATCCCCTGCGATGTAATCTCCCTCGTCCTCCAGGCCCTCGGCGGCGCCATGGCCTCAGTCTCCTCTCACAACCACGAAGACCCCAAGGTGGGCTCCAACATCATGATCGCCGGCCTCGCCTTCCAGGTCATCACAATCTTTGGCTTCATCCTCTGCTCCCTCGACTTTGCCCTCCGCACCATCCGCCGCCAACGCGCCCTCGGCGAAGCAGCCCTCGACCAGCGCCCGGAGGTCCGCAAGGTACGCAACTCGCGCCGTTTCAAGGCTTTCCTCGGTGGTCTGTCCGTCGCTGCCCTGTGCATTCTCTGGCGGAGTGCCTTTCGAGTTGCCGAGTTGTCTGAGGGGTGGGAAGGCCCCGTCATGGGAGATCAGTACATGTTTGTCGGCTTCGAGGGTGTCTTGATCGTTGTTGCTGTGGTTGTTCTCAACGTGTTCCATCCGGCGTTCTGCATGAAGGAGCTTCTAGAGCTGGACGATGGTGCTCTCAAGGGTCTATGGTGTCTGCGCAGCCGGAAGAGTAAGACCTCCAAGATTGACAGCGTGAGTGACAGTGAGAGTAAGACTCCTACAGCAGAGGGTGTCGCTGTGTAGAAGCCCCTTTTTTCCTTTCTTATGTACATGTGTAAAAACGCTGGATTGGGTAAAAGAAACATGTAGGAAACACGGGATAGAGGTTAGATCTATGGGATGGGACCTAGGATACGTTACAAAAGAAAACAGATCAACAGATATTAGTAGCGTACTTCAATACCACGTCAGTTCCTGACCAACATCTGGCTGTCAGGTTCCAAAGACCCCCTGAAGGTGCTTGACTGCACTCCCAATCATCTCACGACCTCTATCTATTATGCCATGAAGCGACAGGATGGAATGTGTTGCCCCCTCCACAACTAGAGTATCAACTTCAACCCCCAGGCCCTTCAGTTGCTCCCCAAATGCCAGTGCCTCAGGGGCAAGGATGTCCATCTCGGCCACAGCAATCCACGTCTTTGGAAGGTTCTTCAACAGCGACTCGGAAGCAAAGTTTGGGCTAGAATCCCAGCACTTGCAGTCCTCATCTTTGGGCAGGTAGAGCTTGCGGTACCACGATAGCCGCTCAGGGGTCAGCCAAGGGGCAGTCTCAGCGTTGGGTTTCCAGACATCCTCAGCAGTAGCAGTGTTGTCCACCACGGGGATAAAAAGCAACAGTGATGCCGGAGGATGCGATGATGTGTTTGGGAGTGAGGGTTTGGCAGTTGGAAGGGGAGCTTCGGGGTTTGAAGCTGCAATTCCTGCGGCGAGGGCTATGTTCCCCCCTGATGATGTTCCGCCGATGGAGATGCGCGAGGTATCAATCTTTCTGAGCTCAGCTGGCTCTGAGGCGACCCATCTGAAAGAATCAATTGCATCTTCGACTGCAATTGGAAATGGGTTCTCTGGGGCGAGACCGTAGTCGACGGTCACGACCTTACAGCGCGCACCTGGCATCGAGTTAGACAGACAGCACAACTAAAAGAGGCATCAATAATCGTACCTTGACAAACCCATGAGCAAAGATCAGTCCCATTATTCAAACCACCAAGGACCCAGCCTCCGCCGTGGAACCAGACAAGAACAGGCCAGCCTCTCTCATCACACTCCCCTGTGGGCGTGTAAACCCTCACCCGGAATCTGCCGACGTCAAAGTCGTCGATGCTCCCAACGGGAACCGGCTTCGTCCCGCCGGGCGGCAGAGATACCTTCTTGGTTCTCGCAGACCCATCCCAGACGCCAAACTTCTCCGGCTCTATGTACTGGAGATGAGCCTCATGGTAGGCGACGTACTGGGGGTCCAGACGATCCCTGATGGCGGGGTGGAGGGGTTGCCAGATCTTGCGATCAGGGTTATCAGCCATTGAAGATATGTCCAGGCGGCGACGTGTGAATTAGTTATCAACTTGTAAACAGACGAGCTGGTTTATAACACAGCGCATGTTGTTGAAGACGGTGAAATAGCAGGTACTGCCCCGCCGGCCTATCTCCGACCACCCCGCCGAGTATTCCCGCCGATCGCCGGACCCGCAACCGGTGATTTCGGCATAAACACGCACGGGGGGACACGGAACGTCTTATCCAAAGAATGTTGGAATTTGTATAATATTCATGAATAGTTTTCTTCCACCTCGATAATGAGCCCTCAAGAGCAAATATCTAAAACCGCTACAAATGCTCATCAAACCGAGTTAACTGGTTATTCATCGTCATAGGTACTCTATCAAGGCTCTTTAGGTTTTAATGATACAAGACAACTCGGCCACTGCCCAAAACCGAAAGTCCTCGTCTATAGCCACCATATTTTTTTTTTTTTGCTTTTATAATTCTTAATTGGCTTAACCCTTGTAAGGGCTGGGGCCGACCATCAGCTCGGGCTTGACAAGAGTGTCAAACTCCTCCTCAGTGAGAGCCTGGAGCTCCAGGGCACTCTCCTTGAGGGTGAGGCCCTTCTTATGGGCATTCTTGGCCACCTTGCTAGCCATGTCGTAGCCGATCTTGGGGTTAAGGCAGGTGACAAGCATGAGACTGCAAGGCATGATTAGCGTTCCGTACGTGAGAGTTTTAGTCCAGGGGTACTTACGACTCCTTCATGATACTGGCAATCTTCTCCTCATTGGCGGTGAGGCCGGCAACCAGGTTCTTCTCAAATGATCGCATACCGTCAGCCAACAGGCGGGAGCTGTGGAGGAGGTTGCGGATGACCAGGGGCTTGTAGACGTTGAGCTCGAACTGGCCGTTCATACCACCAATGGTGGTAGCAACGTTGTTACCCATGACCTGAGCGCAGAGCATGGTCAAGGCCTCGCACTGGGTGGGGTTGACCTTGCCGGGCATGATGCTGCTGCCGGGCTCGTTCTCAGGCAGGTTCAGCTCACCAAGACCGCAACGGGGGCCACTGCCAAGGTATCGGATGTCCTGGGCAATCTTGGTAAGGGAGCCGGCGAGGGTGTTGAGGGATCCGTGGGCCTGAACAATGGCGTCGTGGGCGGCCAGAGACTCGAACTTGTTGGGGGCAGTCTTGAACTCAGTGCCAGTCATCTTGGTCACCTCCTCAGCAATAGCCTCGGCAAAGCCCTCAAAGGTGTTGATGCCGGTACCAACGGCAGTACCACCCTGAGCGAGAAGTCGCAGGTCAGGGAGAGAGCTCTCAACGCGCTTGATGCTGAAGTCGAGCTGAGCAACGTAGCCGGAGAACTCCTGGGCGAGGGTGA